ACACCACATTAAGGAAAAAATGAGGGGTACATGCTGCTTTCTCCTCTAAAAAAGACAACAGAGTCAAAATGCAGTAGACGAGAAGGGGCACAGACCTTCAGAATGACGAACTCAAAGAAAACATGACAACAGTTAAGGGCTGGGAAGATCACTTCCTTCCACAAAGTTGTTTCTGCCTGAGGATCTAGATGAGTGAATGAAGGAACTAAGTGACCTCCAGCATGAGGCAGAACAAACACAGATGCTCTACTGCTGGCAGGAGCAAAGACAGATTAGACATAAGGAAGAACTACCCAAGAGCAGAGGAGGAGGAGGAGGAGGAGGGAACAGCAGCAGGTTGGCACCAAGCTTTTTTCTAGTTTCATAAGCCCAACTCATGCCACCCTACCCCCTGCTCATTCTCCAAAGGATATGTGGCGGGGATAACGGCGTAGGGGAGACATCATCCTTCGGGGATCCCGCTGTACCCGCTCCACCAGACCATGGTGCCGTGTATTCCGTGAATCCAGGGATGAATGGAGGGGGTTCTGCCAACACATACATGATAGTCAGGGAAAGGGGATCTGGAAGGGTAGGAAAAGAAAACCACAGCTCCCTCTCCTTGTTCTGCCCCAGTAATTCCTACCTCCTCCCCTCCCCTCTCTTCACCCTAGTACCCACTCACTCACCTGGAACTCTGCCAGGCTACAGCCAATCTGGTTAACATTGGGCAGAGAGCCACCATAATAGGGGCCCCGAGTATGAGCTAATCGAAGTTTCTGGGCCTGTAACTAAAAAGAAGGAAGGTACTATTAGAGGATATAGGGAAGGCCTTCAAGATACTAGTCTACCTTCCCTACCCCAAATCTTACTGATATGTCTAAGTCATCAGATGGAGGGTTTAGAGGTGGATAGAGAACTGGGAGAGCCTGGCAACAGAGCTATAACTAACCCTCACCTCCCTTCCCTAATATACTGCTTGGCTCTACAGCCATAGCCCCTCTTCATAGCACCCTAGCCAATGGAATCATCACTAGCAAGGAGTGTGAGACAGAGGAAGGGAGGGAGGGAATAAGGGAAGGAGGAAGGAAGGGAAGAAAGGAGAAAGGACGGAAATAAGGAAGGGAGATAGGGAGAAGGAAAGGAAGGGAGGATGGAAGGAAGGGAAGGAGGAAGGAAGGAAGAGAGGATGAGAGAGAGGGAGGGAAAGAGGAAGGAAGGAAGGGAAGAAGGAAAACAGGGAGGAAGAGAAAGAGGGAAGAAAGGGAGAGAGGAACTAAACATGTATTAAGTGCATACTATATGCCAGGCACTGTGCTCTCCTACAGGGCCTGCCCCATTTGGCATTACCCCAAGATGAGTCCCAGAAGGAATGCCAGGCGCCCCTAAGCTAGTCACATGGGCTCTCCCCCTGCCCCCAAGGGACCCATTAGCCACCTCTGCTCTTCCAACCAGATGAGCCCAAGACTAATTGGCAGAAAAGGAGACAGGCAAGAGTAGATGGGACAAAGATGGGGCTGCCAGCCTCATTCCTTCTCCTCACAGTTGGAGGCCAAATCTGCAAGGCCACTGCCACCTGTCCATCCATGAGCATACAAGACACTGCTTACACTCACAGGGCTGGGGCCATTCAATTCAACACTTGTTATATGCCACTTCTGGCTGGGAAAATAGTGCCAAACTAAAGGGACTCTCTCTAACCCTGCCCTAAAGCCCCTGGTTTTGGAACAATGCCAAGGAGAGGCCTGGCCTTGGGAAGTGGGGATGGGAAAGGAAGTCTTGCCAGCAGCAGCCAGCCTAGGTCAGAACAATGAGCCCAGCTTGTCCACCTTCTGAAGATGTGCTACAGAATCAAGAAGACTGGCATCCCAGCCTGACTCCTGTCTACTTAGAAATTACTTATGCCAATACCAATACAAAAGGCAAAGCAGTCAATTCTAGTGCCTCAAGTCCCTACTCAATAGACTGTGGGGTGCCAACTACTGTCTTCTGCGTTTGCTCAAGTTAGCTGAATAGCAGGAATGCCCTAGGAAGGAAATGGGGGAAAAGAACTCAGAAACTTCTTTTGAATAAACGGGCACTGAAAGAGAAGGGCAACGCCAAAACTCCCCTCCTCCCCTCCTTCAGCAGGCAAAACTCAAGGGCGCATGTGGGGACTACACTGACCTGTCTCTGGGTCATCCCTCCCTGCTATATAAGACTCCAGGTGGTGTTTGCTATCCAAACAGAAGTACTCTAGTCCCTCAGCTGGGTCTGTATCCGCAACCAAAACTGCCTCAGATGATGAGAGAAAAGGCTGAGTTCTAAACCCCTTATTCTGAACTTTGTATTCCTGGGCCCCAGATCCTGCCCTTAAATGCCCACCATTTCCCTCCATGCGTTGGTAAGGTTCCTACTGGTGGAGAGGTAAGTGAGAGTTTTCAAAGAGTGACCACCTGGCAAGCCACGTTTACCATGCTGATGCAATAACCCCTTCACTCTGAGCTTTTTGGGGCCTTACCGACCCCCTTTATTCTACCACATCTCAAAGAAGTCACAGTTCAAGGGACAGCACTTGATGCTGTCATCCAGAGATCAGAGCTCCACTACAGATCCTGGAAGGTGTGTAGTTAAGGGATATAAACTTCACAGGGATCTGGCTGAAATACACCTTCACCTGGTTTGCCTGTTCTTTCCTCTGTCTGGCTCAGCTCCGAATAGCCAGGGGCACAGGGTCCCCAGAGGCTCAAAGATAGAAAACCACAGACAGAAACACATAGAGAAAGGCAGCTAACAAAGACAGAGCTTTTTTCTGCCTTTCTCTTGTCTCTCTAGCTCATTGTCGACTGCTTGGTTAGGTCATGGGATGTTCTCACCTCATGTTTCAAAACATTTTAGAATGTGCCCCAAAGTTAGGATAACACATTAGTGTGAAACAACCCACACTTGAGACATTCCCTGAAGAGATTCTGATAGGAAGCAGCCTTCCCAGAGGGGCCAGAATTTCTCTGACCATTTGGGGATTGGGGATTTCCTACATTACAGAAAAGCCCCAAGGCATCTCTTGTCTCAGGAGGTGGCCAAATCCAAGAAACCTTAAAGTGTCTTCAGCTACCAGACACTAATGTCAACTTTACCCCGCATCTAACATTCAACGGTTGTCCTCAATTTCCTGAGGACTCTCAGGATGGAACACTCAGCTCTAGCCCACGAGCAATGGACCTCACCTGCATGTCGGGGAAACCACAGGAAGTATTTTAAAAAGGAAGCAAAGGGACAGAGGAGGGGACTTCCTGTTCCTCGGTAGCCAACAGTGCTTTGGTCGAACCACCCACCTTGGGACTTCTCCCTGGTTAACTTTAGTGGCCCCTTGGGCCAGCCTTGTAACAAACAAACGGGCAGAGAGACCACTCGCGAAGGTGATGCTCGGCCCGTTGGGCTGAGACAAGTTTAGCGGCAGGAAAACTTTATCCATGCATGCCCTTTGACCTGCAATAATACACTGGAAGATTTGGTGTGGGTCCCTCCTTCCCGCAGCTCCCCAAATACCCAGAGCCGGGGATGTCTCAGAAGATCTTGAAATGGCAACTAGATCGACAGCAGTCTTCCAATCGGGCTCCCCATTGGGAGGGTCCCACTCTCTACTCCCTCCCCCCCATGCTCACTGTGCCCATCTCGTGCCCACAGATAGCTCTTCTGTAGACTCCCCCCCTCCCCCGCTCTAGAGATGCCCAGTTCGACGGTCCACGGAGCTTTGCTCTCACTCGGCATCCCCAGGCCTCCCTGTCTCCCCGTTTCCTTCCCCTCCCCCGCTCCAGGTTCGCGACTAGGCTCGGGCTCCGGTGGCCGGGCCTCCCCACAGCCGCCCCTTACCCGGGTGGAGCCGATGTCCATCATCACCTCCTCGAAGGCCGCCGTCTCTTCGGCCTGACGCTGCTTCTGCAGCGCGATCTTCTCGCTGAACTTGCGCGGGTTGGCCGCCGAGGCCGAGCTCGAACCCGAACCGGAGCCCGAGCCCGGCCCGGGCCCGTTCGCCCCCGATGCCGCCATCTTCCCCCCTCCCCCCTGGTCCCCCCCTCAATCTCAGCCTCCACCGCCGCCGGCCCCGGGCCCGGCTCCTCCCGCCGCCGCCGCAGCCGCCGCCGTCTCCTCGGCTAGCACCGCGAGCCCGACCCCCGCCTCGCCCCGACCCGCCGCGAGGGGGCCGCAGGGAGTAGTAGTTTGTTTACCCGATGTCTCCCCACCCGCCGAGCAGCGGCGCTGAGAAGAGACTGACTTCATTTCCCAGCAGTACCTGCGACGCCGAGACCTAGATTCAGTTCTCTCTCCCCGCCACCCCACCTCTTCTCTGGGCACGCTGGGAGAGGTAGTTCTCAATTGGCTCCGAGCCTACAATCGAGTGGGAAGAGGCGAGGAGGGGGAGGAAAAGGGAAAGGAAGGGGAAGGGAGGAGAAGGCAAGAGGAGAAGAAGGGAAGAGGAGGGGAAAGGGAGGATGTGGGCGGGGACGGGGAGGAAAAGGATAAGAGAAGAGGGAGGAAAAATCTTGTCTCGGGAGGGAGGCGGGGCGGGGAGGGGATGGTGGTGGGTGTGAGTGTGTCAGAAGCAATCCAGGAGCCAGAGACTGGGGTTGAGTAACAGCTGGAAACCTCTGGAGCGTAGATTGTACACTTCTCCCTCCAGCTCTCGCTGGTGTTGGGGCCTCCCTCCCTCCTGGCTTTTCCCCACCACGGAAGATACAAAGACAGGGATGTAGGAACACCTTTTATTCGGGAAGCTGATCCCGGAAGCGTCAGTTTAGTAAAATAGATTATACAGAGCATATTCCTCTCCCTCCCGGTCCCCATCCCTCCCTCCCCTCCCATCCACCCACCCTCCTCCAAAAATACTCCTGGGAGGCGGGCCTCCAGGGCTTCTCTGGTACAAAAAAGAGTTTAGGCAGTTCAGCCCTTTGGCACCTGGGCAAGATCACCAGGCTCGATACTCACCCCCAGCCCCAGAGAGGGTGAAAGGTCTGGAAATCAACAGCAGGCAGCAGTTCTCATTTAGCTGCCTGGCAAGGCCCAACATCAATGTGCTTTGTGAAAAGGGGGAGGGGGGTATTTGGCACTTTATAAGAGGAATGGAAGTTCAGCTGAGGGCAAGGAACTTGGCCAGTGGATGTCATCAGTCATCATGCCCTTTAAAAAGTGAACATTGAGAAGGGGATGGGGCCAGGAGAAGAAAAAAAAAAGGGACTTCTCCAGGAGAGTACACGAATGGGATAGAATCAGTACCCCCAAGGGCTCCAGATTCCTTTTCCACTCCTCACTCTCTGATAGCCCTACCCTTAGTGTCTGTCTTTGTATTCTATCACCTGTTCACATGTCCCTTTGTCTTGTCTAGTGTTTTTCTAGTTTTCTTCTCCCTTCTTCACCTCCCCCTACATTCCTGGGGAGTTTTATCTGTTCTTTGTCTCATGCTACACTGGTCATTCTCTGGGGTCCTGTCTACAACACCCACCAATGCACTCCACCCCCCTCCTCCCCCATCATATGCACTTTCAGCTCCCAAAGCCCCCATCCCTCAGAGGTGATTTAAACACGAATAAAAAGCAGACCAGTGAGCAGGGCAAAACCAGCCAGAAGTAGGATGACCTTGAGGATCCTCTGCTCAGAAGCAGCCAGTTCCTGGGGCAAGATCTCCAGGAAAGTGATATAAAGGAAGGTGCCTGCTGCCATGCCTTCTAGTACTGACTGTGCCAGCTGGTGCAGAGGCCCTGCTGACTCTGCTAGTGCAGCCCCCAGCCCAATACCCAATGGTGTCATGCAGGAGAAAAGGACCCCACAAATGGCTACCACTCCAGCCCGCAGCCGGCTCTGCAGTAGCCGTAGGGACAGACTGACAGCTAGTACCCCTTTGTGCAAGAGCAGCGCCAGACACAGCTCCATTGCCCGGGCTCGCTCCCGCTGCAGCCCCACGGCAAGCCCTTCAAATACTGAGTGTAGGGAAAGTGAGAAGACCAGGACACAGGCCCTTAAGGCTGAAGGGGCAGAAGAAGTCCCATCAGCCATTGGTCCATCATGCCAATGGGGAGGTGCACTGCCCGATGTGCCCAGGAGTGCTCGAGTCTCTTCTCTTGGAAGGGGCCCTGATTGCTCTTTGTAGGCTAGCACAATCTGCTCCATCACCAGAACCAGAAAAAAACCCATGGCGAGAATGAACTCCTGCAGTGGGAACTGAAGCTGTGGAGGAAAGAAAGGGGGGGAAAAGCAATAAGAAGCAGCTTCACAGGTCTAAGGAGAGATAAGTAGGGAAGAAAAGAGAGAGGGTACCGAGAAGATAAGGGGCTAGGATACCACAATCCTTCGACCTGGGTTTGCCCACTCCCACTTGTACCCTTGACACAAACCTAAGCTTTGTCTCTATTTTGGGCTTCTTCTTTCCTTCACCTCCAAAATCCTAGTTAGAGGTTGCTTTCTGGTCTTTTCCTAGCCTTCCCTAGCCCTCCCTTCCCAATCCTCTTGGCCACTGTAGTAGAAAAGGTAGAAGAGCACCAAAGGTGAGACTGCTAAGCACTATTTACAAACTTGGAAGTCAGAGTAGGGCCACATACACAGAAGGCCATATCTATACTACACTTTTGGAGCCACGCACAGCAAAGATTTTAAACACAAATACACAAAAGCCTTATATATGTCACAGACAGGGTTACACACATGATCACAGGATCTCACAAACTTGAGCAATTCACATGTGGCCAAAAACTTGTACACCAAGAATGATATCTACTATACCACCCTCCCCTGGGGCTAGGTACTCACAGTGATTCGAAGGGCACTCAGGGCCTCATTTATAGCAGACAGGTAGTCTGGAAGCAAGTCCAAGAGACAGGTGGCCAGAAAAACACCACCTGCAAAGCAGCTCACCAGGCTCAGGATTTTCTTTCTGGAGGCTATGGGAAGGGCAGGGGTGACCAGAGAGAAACAATCAGTTTTTAAGCCTCCTCCAGCAGCGGACATCCCTGGCCCTAGCCTGAAGTCTCAGGAACCTCTTCTATTTCTTTTCTTTTTTTTTTTTTAATTAGGCAATTGGGGTTAAGTGACTTGCCCAGGGTCACACAGCTAGTAAGTGTCAAGTGTTAGGTCTGAGGCCGGATTTAAACTCAGCTCCTCCTGACTTCAGGGCCTCTCTAGCTGGCCCCACTTCTTCTATTTCTGATAGTTCTTGGGTTGTTCTCACCCCAAAGCAGTCTTTTCCACTCTCAGTTCGCCCTCAATCTTCTATCATAACTCCCCTAGATCCTTGCTCCCAGAATCTACCCATCCTCACTCAAACCTAACCCCAGAGGTTGCCATGGCATGGGAGGGAAGGAGGGAGAAATGATCTAACCTGAGTCCTCGAAGTTGGCACTGGGACGTCGAAGCACGCAGATAGGCACAAGGCTGCAAAACAGGGTGAGTGCCAGCAGCACCACCAGGGCACCCATCTTTACCTCCAGCCCCACAGGCACTGCAAGCACAGCTTCTGGACGCCACACCAGCCGTTCTGGCTCTTCCCAGGGCACCATGGTAGTGGCAGTTTGGAGGGCAGGGGGTGCCTAAGTTCCCTGTCCACACCTGTGAAATTCCTTTACCTGCTAAAAGATATGTGGAAATAAGGCAGATTGGGAAAGGTACTGGGGGGTAGCTGGAAGAGTCAGCTGAGTGCTGCCCCTCCACCCCACCCATTACTTCCTGACCTCTACACCAAGCTGACTCACCCCTTTCCAGGAACATTCCTCTCTCCCCTAGGACTTTATTCCTCCTGTGACCTCTGCAGGGGCCCAGCAAAGGGGGGGGGGAGAGGAGAAACTGAGGTATGGAGAAGAGATCAAAACATGTAACATCACACTAGAGATTTATATCCCCTTTCCCCTGGGGATTCCAAACAATGAGAGAAAGCAAAAAGGTCATAACCCAAAAGAAGCCCGATCTCCTCTATCCACCCTACAGAGGGGTCCAAAAACCTGAAGGATAAAAGGATGAAAACGAGTAGACACAGGAGGAAAGGGAATAGTCCTACAATGCAGTCAGCCAGAAGTAGGAGAGAAGTTTTCTAGGAGCGTTAGGCTTCCCTCTCCCCACCCCAAATCCTGGGAAGACGAATCCCCTCTCCCCATCCTAGGGATTTGGGGTGAGAGGGGAGTCTGGAGATTGACAAGAGCTGGAAGGAGGAAGGGGGCCAGAACTCTGCCAAGGAGACAACAGTGGGGTGGGCCAGGGGTGCGGGAGGGGCCTGGAAGCCCAGGGAAGCTGCCTGGGGCCGCTAACGCTAGTCCCGGGACCCAGCGTTGGGGCGGGGGTGGAGAGGGCGGTGGGGAGGAGGCGGGGAGTCGCGGAGAGGAAGGATCGGAGGCTGAGGCTCTAGGTCTCTGCCACCCAGGGGGCTGTGGGAAGCCAGGACAACAGGCTCCAGAGAACCGAGTCTCGGCCTGGTACAGACCGCACTCACCTCGCACGGGCCTCGCTACATTGCAACCGCTCCGTTCCGGCCTCCAGCCGGGAATTCCCGCCCCCTCCCCACTTCCCCGCACTCTGCTTCCTCTCACCAATGACATCGAGGCGGGGGCGGGGCAAGACCAGGAGTTACGTTACCCTAGAGCAATCAGAAATAGCCTGGGGAGGGGGGGAAGGGGTGGAGAAAGCGGAGTGGGGGCGGGGCCACCAAAGGACCTGGGGCCAAACACCTCTGGGAGCTTACCTGATTCCTGGGCAGGCTGATTTTCCAGCAGGATCTCCCAATGCTGACTGGTCAGAAGCGCTGAGGAATTTGTGGTTTTTTTTTTTTAGAGGGGCTACTGAAAGAGGAGGTGCTCTTCCACTACTCCAACTCAAGACCTCTTTTTGCAGGACGGAATTGTTTTTGCCTGCAAAATTCCAGGCACATAGTAATCGCTTGATAAATGCTTGTGAGTAGACTGATTGCCTGATTGCTATTCATTCAAGAGCCCCATTCTCCTACTCCTGTGTGGAAAGATATCTTTGGAGAGTGGGTGCTTTTTATAGCCTCGTCCTGGGACTAGTCTGGGTTTCGGCAGAATAAAGGGAAATCTTTAGTCAAACAACATGACCACGAGAAGTCTTGGGACACAGAGAAAAAGCAAAGCTAAGTTAGGAAATCCCATTCTCGGAAAGATTTACTAACTTGCCAAAACGACCCGAGAATTTGTAAATTGTTTGGTACCGGGCGCTCTCAATGTGTGAATTCCCTGTCTACCATTGCCTAGGTGATTTGGTTAAAAAGACCCAAGGACTAGCCTAAGACACAAAGAAATATGGACAAATTCATCTTGCTTTGCTTAATTATTTGCTTGCTTGATATGTTACACCCCTTATATACTTTACATTCATCTCTGGGGCAGCCTCCATTTCCTGCCTTTCCTTTCTTTTGCTCAAGCTATCTATACAAATGGGATGCCCTTCCCCATTTTTTAATTTGTAGCTCTTGCTGATTCCCGAGGTGTAAAATGCTCCACGTTTTTTAAAGTCCAGAATAAATGCCATGTCCTCCACAAAGGCTTCTCCTTTTCCTCCTCCCAAGTCTATATAACAATCTTTCCCCCTTCAGACCTCACACCTCAGACATTATTTTGAATTTTACTTATTTGTATTACTCAGATGGATTATAAATCCTGAAAGTAAGTTGATTTAGCCAGGGGTGAATAGAGCCCTGGCCCGGGAGTCAGGAATTCAATTTGAATTCAAATCTGACCTCAGATCCTTCCTGGGTATGCAATCCCCAGTAAGTCACTTAACCCCAGATTGCCTTTAAAAACATATGAAATTTAGCCCTGTAGGCCCTTACTTAGTAAATTTAGAGGATGAAGTGATTACTTACTCAACTCCTCTTAAAGTAAGTGATAAAAAGCTCTAACTAGAATGATCAGGCTTGCGAATCTGCTTGGGTTGTCTAGGCCCTAGGGCAGGGATCATTTTTGTGGCCTGGTGGCCGAGGTGTGTCCTGAGCCAGCTCTAACTAGCTCCTAAGCGCCCATTGTTAAATTGATAGAGTGAGCATTTACACTTAGCATTTGCATCTCAGGAATCAGCAAGAGCTACAAATTAGGTTTGATTTGGAGAGCTGGGTTGTTAAAACATTTATCAAAACTCCCATGTATGGACTCTTTTGACAGTCTGGTGAACCTATAGACACCTTCGCAGAATAAACTTTTTAAATCCAGTAAAATACATAGGATTATAAAGTAAACTAATTATATTGAAATTGTACAAAAAAATTTTTTTTAAAGTTCTCAGACCCCAGGTGAGAAGCCCTGCTCTAGACATCATCTATAAATATGAAGCATGTGGAGAAAGGGATAATTCCAGAGGCTAGAGTTGACTCTTGTCTCTCTGGCACAGCTCTGAGGAAGAACCGCAGTTGAAGGACAGGAGAGTGGAGAAGCTGAGGCTTTTGCATCCCAGAAACAGGAGGAAAACTTCAGCAATCATCAGCTGTGAATGACCTTCTGCCAAATGTTCTTTCTAGGCTTGAGTTCAATTTCCCCAGACCCTTGTATGTTTTTGTGGGAGTATGATAGACTTTGGGGAGATATTTTGTACTAATGTAAGGTATTCCCTTAGTAAATATCCCTTTCTAAAATCTACTCAAGGCTTAAATGATTCTCAATTGATAATCTGGAGGGGGTTGGGGGCAGGACACATCACTAGGGCTTAAGCTCATGAATTTAGAGAATCACCCTTGACTCCTCAGGGATACCCCTAGAACTCTGAAAGGGGATGTGTAGCCAAGCTCTTCGAACCCACCTCATCAGTGGGAGTGAAACTTGGGATATTGGCCACAAATTACACATTACCAAAAAGGAAGCATTTGAAACCAAAACATTTAACCACATCCAGGGCTCTAGAGAAGGTTTTAGAAATGGCAGGTCTGCTTGGTGCTTTGCATTAATCTGAGAAATCCTTTGAGAAATCTTGATTTGGAGTATTAAAGGTGACTCATACATGAGGATGAGAAAATCCAAAGGTTTCTCCTAGCACTTCCCGAGTCAGATTTTCAGAATGCAAATTGATGAGTTTAAGATCCAGACCTCCCCCACCCCTTTCTGCCCCTCCCTGCCAAACAAAATTTCTCTGAGGGCTAATCTTACTCAACTCATCACCCACTTTTCACAAACCCTTGGGGACCCCAAGCACCCTTGCTACTGTTTGGTTCAGGGTGTGTGCACAGGCACTTTCAGGGGAGTGGTATGACTTACATCTCAGTTCAGTAATTATCCATTATTAAGCTTGCAGTGAATTCCACCAAATATGAAATGCCCATAATAAAAATATGTTCCTCAAACCATTTACAAATGAATTATTTGCCATTTTGGATTTCCCAAACCTCTGCTCCCCTCCATTAGTTACAGTAACCGAGTTTATCTTCAAGGCTGCTGCTTATTAAGTAGCATAAAACATTACTGCTTCCACAGGAGGAGGAGCCAGCCTGTTAGCACACGGCTATCTGCCTGATTATTACAATCCTGTCCCGTGGCTAAAGACAGAAGTTATTTCTCTGCCCCAGTGATAACTGAAACTAGGTCATGTGGAAGATTCTTCTCCTTCCTTCCCTCCTCCCACTCACAAACTTTTCCTTGGCTTCATTCCAACTTCTCTGGCCCCGCCTCCTCTCCATCCAAGGCACCCAATTCCTTCCTGACAAATAAGTGTTCCCACCTCATCTGTCAGAGTTCTCACTCCAGAAGCCTATTAAAACCAGCTGGGGGAGTGGTGGTTTACCTATTGTCACCCCCTGAAGAGACAAGAGTGAGTAAAATAAATATAGAGCAACACGATTGGCTGGAAAAAGATGTCCTTCAAAATCCTAGGGTTTTTATTTTGTTGTTTGTGTTAAACAGCAGACTCGCTAGAAAGAAGCAAAGGCTAAAAGGATGAGTGGTACCACGAAGCCCGTTTCAACCAACACTGTGGACTCCTCTTCTAAGGACTATGGTTCCAGTACCTAGGGATACTGAACCCCTACTGAAGCCTACTCTTCCCTTCTGATGGTGGGGAGGGAATTCCTAGCCCCTGGAATCAGGAGAGCCCCCTATATTGTACCTCCCAGCCTGACAGGTCCTGATTTTGAGGCAGAAGAGGAAATTTAGGCATAAAAAATTATGCATGCATAATCCTTCTCTGAGCATCCGGGTCCCAATCCCAAGGATCTCTTTCCTAGCCACCACCCTTTTACCAATGTTCCTGAAGGGGGCGGGGCTGGGTGTTGGCAGGTCCAGGATGTGAGATCCTGGATGAAAGAAAAGGTATAGTGTTTGGGGCCTGCCAGAGAGCAGGACAGAACAGGTAATGTCCAGGGGTCCTGCTTTACCGAACTGTCAAACAAGCCAAGGGAAGTGAACAGGTAAGGGCAAGGGGGAGAAGCTGACTGGGTGCTGGGAAGAAATCACCTGGGGGTGGGGTGGGGGTGGGGGGGTTGAAGGAAAAGAGGGAGAGAACAGATAGAGAGGATTCTCACCCTTCTCTCCTACTGCCCTCCATTAAGAGGATGGAACTTGGCGAACCAGAACTGCTGGATATCTTGTTGGAACCTTCAGAAGACATAACCATAAGGGCCTTCCCAGAGCTGGCAAGCCCCTCCTCATTCCAAGAGCCACAGCAAACTGGACTACAAGATCCAGGGCTGGAAGGCTGGGAACCTGGTGGGAGCAGCAGCTGTGTGAGTGTGAGGGCTGGACAGAAATAGTGCGGGAAGGGGAGCAAAAACGGGAGTGGGTGGTATAGCTCAAAGAGAGGAAGGCTGAGTAAGGAATAATGGAGCTCTTGGCTCAAAAATGGCCTGTAGGTAGCTTCTCTAGATCAGGGATGTATCGTCCTATTGCTTCTCACCTCCACAGAAGAAAGCAGCTGAAACTGTAGCACTAAGTGTCCTGGGCAGACTTTGGAAAGATCTCCTAGTTCTACATATATATGCTTCCCCTTCACTGTCCCAGGGTCTTCAGGAGAGCGAGCCTGACGATTTCCTGAACCTACTCATCGATCCCAATGAGGTCTATCAGTCCAGAGTTTCTCCAGGAAGTGACAGTGGTATCTCTGAAGAGCCTGGTCATCCAGACAGCCCCCCAGGCCCCATGGTTCTCAGTCCTCCTGCCTTCTATGAGGTTGTCTATGAGACTGGGGCCCTAGAACGGGTGCAAGGAGAAACTGACCCCACCAGCTCTGGGCTCATCTCTATCCAGCTAGGTTAGTGTTCTCTCCTCTTCCTGCCAGTCAAACCCTAACCTTAATTCTTTCTGTCCTGCACAATCCAAACTCCATCTCTCATCTCATTATCTTTATACTGACCATCTCATGACTTGGAATGCATTCGTTCCTCTCTTCTGCCTCATAGAATTCTTTCTTCAAGGTGAAGTTCAAGCAGCACCTCTTATTAAGAAGTTTTTCCTACATCTCCTCAATGGCTACTGCTCTCCCTGCTTAGTAACTTAATTTTTAGCTATATTGTATTTATTACATAGCCATATATTCATGTATCATTGGCTCCCCCACCAGGCTGTAAGCTCTTTGGAGGGAGATATTGTTTCATTCTTTCTATTTTTATCCCCAGCACCTTTCACAGTGCCTGACACACAGAAGGCACTTGATAAATACTTGTTGATTAATTAATTGGTAGGTGGGGGTGCAACAGAGATTTCTAGGTCTCCAGCTCTGGTCTTCCCTCTCCATCTCTGATCAACACTTCAGAGAGTGCTGACTTTGCACTGTTTCCAGTCCCCATCTCTAATTCTAGCACTTTATTTGGTCTGCTTCCAATTCCAGGCTCCCCCCTCTTCCCCCCCCCCACCAATTCTCATTTTCTTCTTTTAGCCTTCTATTTGTTCATCTGCCCAGGTCAGTGGAGTCCCCCACTGCTGATCCCTGATGCCTGCATCATTAATGAGCCTCCCAAAAGTCCTCCTGCCCACCCAGAGTCCAGAATAGGTACAGGAGTCTTGGTGCCTCCTGAGACATTGGTGAGTCCTTCTGGCTGCTTTCCTTCTCTCTCCCTATATCAAATACAAAGAGATCAAACACTGGGTACCTGCAAAAAGAAGAGACACGGCAGGTAGAAGACAGGTACAATGGGTGCATAGATGAAGTTCAGGATGTGCACCAAGGACCAACTCTGCTTGTAAATATAGCAAGATAGTGGAAATAATCGACTTAAGACAAGAAAGAGACTGGGGTGAGGTATACATTAGGAGATGCAACTCCTACCCAATCAGCTCAGGAAAACCTATCATGCTTGCCTGAACAAGACAGACTTGTGCAGAGAATTGATCCAGCATAACTGGGGTCAGGGAAGGCAAGGAGAGACGCAAGATAAGGCAGACACAATAGAAATAGCAGGAGTCAGTCTTACTGCCTTCCCCAAGGAGAGGCAGACTTAGGAGAAGTACAAAAGCTCAAGCCACTTTCCTTTCCCTGACATAGAAAAGCAATTCCCAGGCAAACAGGGCAATGTCCAAAGGTTCCTTTGAGATCCACTCCACAGAGTCGCATATGGAATAGAGCCAGTAATGAAATTTCATAAATGGACAGTAATTTATAAATTACAAAAGTGCTTAACATGAGTAATGTTTGAGTTCTACAACAGTACTGAGATGAGCAGAGCAAATATAATTATCTCTAATTTTAAAGATAAGGAAAGAGTTTAAGTGACTTGCCCAAAGTTCCACAGAATCAATGGTAAGAGCATCACTGACTGCCCTAGGGGAGTTCCCAGGAGCACACTTCCTCCCCACTGAGGAGTGGTGCCTCCTTTAGGGGACTCTCAATTTAAAGGTATTATCAAAGACCTTGAACTTGCAGTCAGGAGAGAACTAGGTTTGAATCCTGATTTTGACTTATTAACTGTATGATTCTTATCAATAAAATGGGGATATTTACTTCACAGTACTGCTTTGAGGAGAGTGCTTTTGTAAACCTTAAAGCATTTTAGAAATCTCTAGCATTGTAGATAGAGGGCTGGTCTTGGATTCAGGAAGACCTGACTTCAAATCCTGCCCTAGATACTTGCTGGGTGACCTTGGGCAAGTCATTTGACTTTTCTAAGCTTCACTTTCCTATCTGTAAAATGGGAATAACAAGAGCGCTTACCTTTCAGGGTTGTGAATGAGAAAATGTACGTGAAATGCTTTCAAATCTTAAAGTGCCCTTTAAATGTTGGTTGTTATTACTAATGATGAACTATATACTAAACTACAGCCCAAAAATGATTGGGATGGGATCAAGGCAAATCACAAGATAAATGTGAGAGGAAGAAAAAAGCCCAGCACGGAAGGGAAGGTGTCATCAAGGGGTTTCCTGGGGAGAACTGAGGCATTCAGACTTCTCCTCTGCTCAGAGCCCTCCCTTCACAGCCTATAGCTGCTAAAGACCCTTGGGTGAAAAGACATTACAGCCTTAATACCTTCTCCAGAGTCTTCTCACTTGAGATGTGGTATAAAGTCCTTGCTGGAAATCCCAGTTGGCAGGGAGGCCTTTGCCCCAGGAAAACTGCAGTTGGAAACTAGAACTATACAGCTTTCCTGGGCCCAGCACCCTTCACTTCCCACTGCATGGAAGCTGTCACCACTCATAAGTCCATCTGTCCCAGTGCTATGATGTAAAATAAGGTAAATATCCCCATTTTTTGATGAGAAAACTAAGTATCAGAAAAGTTAAGGAATTTGCCCAGAATCATACAGTTAATAAACCAAAACCAGGATTCAAACACAGTTGTCCCCTGACTGCAAGTTCAAGGCCTTGAAAATGCCCCTAGATTGGGAGTTCCCTAAAAGAGGTACTAAGCCTTCTCATGGAAGAAGAGGAGTGCCCCTGGGGTCTGTCTCAATCATTTACCATTTTCTGATGCCCTTCCCTTATAATTTCAGTAGCTATGCCCTTCTCAGATGTCTTTCCTCCCTAGTATCTGGAGTAATTGCTGGAAAGCTATGTCTTGGGAACTGTCCATTGGGAATTCCCAGGACTTGAAATGTTTGTTTTTAACATGAATTGAATGGCAAAAAGAAAGGCCTCAGTTGCCGTTCCAAGTTGGTGCAAATCCCACTGGTTTGGAATTTCCAGATGAGAAAGGGCAAGTAGAGAGGTCTGGATGCTAACGGGGGGAATTATCCTTCCCATCTCTTTCTTCTCTTCTCTGTCACCCACCAGCTGCACTGCCCAGCATTGTTCCTGACAGATGAAGAGAAGCGGCTATTGGGACAAGAAGGAGTATCTCTGCCCTACCACCTACCCCTCACCAAGGTAACCCCATCTTTGAATATATTAATAGTGAGGTCCTCATCATGTCCCCTGAGGAGCTAAGACCTCAGGAAATAGTGGGGAAATGGTAAGGGTTCAACTGAAACGTCAAGTGAATTATTAATGGCCTAATACTCTGTAATGGGCGTTTTGCTAAGCACTGTGGCACTAAGAGCTCACCACTCAGCCCTGTTCTTCTGGGTCCACAGGCAGAGGAAAGAGTCCTTAAGAAGGTGAGAAGGAAAATCAGAAACAAGCAGTCTGCTCAGGACAGCCGGAGACGCAAGAAAGAATACATAGATGGTCTGGAGACTAGGTACATACTTCATGGCACCCCAGTGTGAGCCCTTAGCCTCTCCCTCAATCCATTCCACGGTACAAATCTGAACACCTCTTCTTAATCTTCATCTTCTTCACCTCTTCTCTCCAGCGTTTGCTACCAATGGCCACCCTCTTCTCTTGGATACTGTCTCATCTGGATATCCATGACTATACTTCCTCATCCTCCTCCTATCTTACTGCTCTGAAGTCCCTTTTGCTGGTTTATCATCCATATCATGTCCCCTAATTGTGAGTGTATCCCAAGACAATGTCCTAAGCCTTCTTCTCTTTTCTCTCACTTGGTGACTATCACCCATGCGTTTATCATCTCTATGTAGGTGACTCCTTGATCTATATATCAAGTCCTATTTTCTCTTCTGAGCTCTAGTCTCATATCACCAGCTGCCTACCAGACATTTTAAAAATAGATATCTCACAAGCATTTCAAACTCAAAACACCTAAAATAGAACTCTTCATCTCTTCCCCCCAAACAACCCCCCCTTCCAATCTTTCCTATTTCTGTCAAAGTCACAATCATCCTTTTATTCTCCTAAGTTTATAATCTCACCATTATCCAGCCTTGACTCCTCACTCTTCTCCCTCTCCTACATCCAATCAGTTGCCAGACTTTATTTTTACATCTTTCTCATCCAACCTCTTCTCACTACCCACATAAGCCATCACTTCATACCAGGCCTTCACCTCTCACCTGGATAACTGTTATAGCCTCCTAATTGGTGTCCCTGCCCCAAGTCTCTCCTCATGTCCATCTATTCTTCACACAGCTGAAAGTGATTGGCTCCCAATGGCCCCCTAGCATTAAAAACAGCTCCTCCAGCATTTACAGCCTTTCATAACCTGGTCTCATCCCATCTTTTCTACCTCATGCTATATTATTCCCTTCCCTACATTATGTAGGACAAATTGGCCTTCATTCTTGCACACTGTATTTGACCCAGACAAAGCTGCCTTGAAAGAATATTGGTGAGTCTGACAAAAATAGGGAAGTTGAGGAGAGAGGGTTTGGGGGAAAAGTTGTTTTGGATGCACTGAGTTTCAGATGTCTATGGGATGTTTAGTTTGAAAGGTCCAATAGGCATTTGGTGATATGAGTGGAGCTCAGCAGAGACTGGGGCTGCTATACCTAGAATACACTCCTTTCTCCTCCTCACCTCTCAGCCTCTTAGAATTCCTAGTTTCCTTCAAGACTTAGCTCAATCACCACTTTTTACAGTCCTTCCTGGTTCCCCCAGCAACTAGTGCTCCTCCTTCCAAAACCACCTTGTATTTATTTTGTATTAATATAGGATCTTTTCTCTCCCAATAGAATGTAAGCTTAAGGGAAGGGACTGTTTTGTCTTTTTATCTTCAATGCCTAGTAAGTGGAAGGAACTTAAGTGCTTTGCTGATGATGGGGGTAAACAAATGTGCATTGACTTGCTCACCTGGTTTGGGCACCATGTGATCCGCACCCCTAAGTATCTTTCCCCCTCATTCCAGGGTGGCTGCCTGTTCAGTACAGAATCAGCAGCTACAGAAGAAGCTGCAGGAGCTGGAGAGACACAATGTGTGAGTGGAACAGAGGTGGTGGAGGAGATAAGGGCGTACAGGTGTCCTCTGCCACAGTTGGAGGCCAGAAACATACTCTTTTTTCCTCCTCTCCTAGCTCCTTAGTGGCCGAACTTCAACAGCTACAGGCACTCATTGCTCAGACCTCTAACAAGGCTGCCCAGACCAGCACTTATGTCCTGGTAATGGTTCCTCCCCCACCCCCATCCAAATTTGTCATCCCCTCTCCTTCCTTCCATTCCTTTATTTTGACACCAGATTTCTGCTTACCAAATTTCTCTCCTTTTTGCTAGATCCTCATACTCTCCTTAACCCTCATCATCCTTCCCAGCTTCAGTCCCTTTCCCCGGGAACAGCCAACTGGGCCTGATACTTACAAGCCTAGTGGAGGTGAGGTGTTGTAGGAACTATTAGTGTCGGTGATGAAAGGTCATCTTTGCCAAGCAAAGGGCAAGAGGCTGGAACCCAGGAAAATTCCCACCCTAAACCTTTTCCTTCACTCTCCACAGTTATCTCCAGAAACATCTTGACTCACAAGGATGTGCCTGACAGCTTGAGGACCCTGATATCACAGGCTGGAGATAGGGGTGTCAATGGTTCCTCAGGGGCAGTGCCGAAGGAGGGTGGGAAGCAGCCAGGCCACAGGGACAGGGGCAGACCCGTGCAGCATGCTGATGAGATGTAAGGCAGAGTTGGAAAAAGGGTGAGGGATCTGGGAGGACACCACAAAAATATTCAATTCTGGGGACTGAGATACCCCTGACCACTCCCCCACCCCACCAGTCTTCACACCCCATGGCAGAAGGCTGGAGTAGGATGTTACTCTAGAGAAAGTGAGGTAGTATTCTTCCCTGGTTCCCTAATGAGATATTACATGGTGAATGGTTTCAGCTCCGATAAGTGGAGCGATTTGGGAGGGGGAAAGAGAAGAGATGTGCTGCTTTAAAATAAACTTATAACTTCTACCTGGTTTATAAACTTAACCTCTGTTTGGTTTCATGGATCTCCTAGTAGCCTGTGCTCAGATAGACTTACTTCAGCCCCAACCATGGTAGAGGGAGAAAGGAAACAAAGCTGAGGAGACTGGGGACATAGCTGCCTCCCACAATCTAATTTTTTGTTCTGACCCCCTCCCCCCAAACAAACAAAACTATCATTAGTTGTGGGATTGTTTTTATTTAATTCTTTCATTATCAAGGAAACAAAAGGTGAAGGGCAAAGGGAAGAAGATAAAGGAATAGGGTTCCAGGGGCCAGGGTCACCCCATACAACCTTCTCCCCATCAGGCCAGCTGTTACCCTTCTCCACCAGGCCCCCATGGGGCAAAAGGCTTGAATGTCGGGAGAGCAGGGGACTTATATGGATTCAATCTGTTTTCGGACTTTTTCCAGGGCCTTTCGGTCCAGTGATCTCTGACGAAGGATCACAAGGCAGGCAAAGACTGCAGCCACTCCCACCACAGCCCCCTCAAACTTCCAAAACAGGTGTCGCTCCATCATTGCTGAGCGGCAGCTGAGACAGCAGGGAAACAGTCTATCACAGCCGGTAGTGCAAATGTCAAAATTTGATTAAGCCCCTCTCAGTTTAACTCCCATCCCAATAAACCCATTAAAAGAGAAATGGGGGGGGCGCAGAAGAGAACAGGGAGAGAAGGAGCAATCTGTCAAATCAGCTACAATGGAGTGTCTGGCCTTGGTAGAGGAAACGTAATGAGATACTGACCTTTTGAACTCATCTCTCTTGGACACAGAACAACTGATTTTCTCCACAAAGCCAGTGGTACCACATTCAGGAGTGGTTTTCTGTGGAGGAGGAACGGGGAATAGAGGGAATAATAAAGATGTGGCTGGGAAGGGGCCAATAAGGCTTTGGGACAGCTGTTGGGCCCTGTGGCTCAAAGATACCCAAGAAAGAGAAGGAGAAGAGTGGCTCTTACACCAAAAAAGCAAGGGGCAGGGGGGAGGAGAGAAGAAAGGGGAAGGGAGAGGAAGGGAGGAAGAGAGAAGAGTGCGCAGATAAATGCTGCAGTATACTCACAGCCTGGAAGGTAGTACAAGGGGCACACTCCTCAGCCACCACAAAGTCCTCCACCAACCAGCAAGGCATGGACACCAAAGTGCTTACTAGAAAAAGAGAAAAATGCCAAGCACCCATCGCCAGATCACCCCATTGTGTGTGGGATGGAAGAGGACCCCACCGAGCGATCACTGATAAGAAAGCAGGCCTGATCCTGGTTCTGCTCCCTCCCACCTGGTTCCCCAATCATTAAGATGGGTCATCTTCTCCATCCCTCATCGGGGGCACCCGTCCCTCCCTCCCTCCTCCTTTTGCCCCCCCCATTTTCTCCCATCCTGCCCAGGGAGGGCCGGCACTGCCCACCTCGGCACCCCTGGCCCTTCACCTACCAGACTGCTTCTCCCTGGCGGCGGCCTCAGTCAGGCTGCGGAGAGATGGGGCGCGGGTCAGATAGAAGACGCCCAACCCATGCCGGTCAGCAGCCCAGGGACCTGACCCTGACCCTGACCCGGGGGCGCGTGCCGAGGGTCCCCCGCGCTCCCGCCCCGGGGGGCATCGCGGTCCCCTCCCCCTCCCGCTCACCCAAGCTCCAAGAAGAAGGCGAAGAGCACCCAGCCGAATAAGATGAGGAGGGTCCGCGAGTTGTAGGGCGGCGTCTCGGGGACATCGATCCAGTACTGCTCCCGATGCATCGGGAGTAAGGGGCGCATGGCGCCGCACCTGCCGAGACAAAGGCGTCTGGGGCCGGACCGACAGGCGGGAGGCGCTCACCCACCTCAGCCCAGCCCCTCCACCACTAGGCAGAGACTCGCCTCCGCAGCACTCCCAGCAGTCACCGCGAAAAGCGGGGGGGAAGAGGAGAGGGGCACTGTCGCGACAGCGGGCGCGATCGCAATGGGGGCGTGCCTATCACGACGGCTCGGATCAATCCGCCAGTATTTTTTGCTTGGTCAAGCGTGGACCGTCCAGCCCGGTCTGGGAGGGCTTAAGAAGGAAAATCCCGCTGAGCAGACGCGACTCAGGAACGAGACAGACTCTCAATTGGTCTTCCGCTCCCGGCACCGCCATGTTGTCACGCGAGAGACGCCTCTTTCCCCTCCCCCCTAGCCCCAGAGACTGAGAAGATGAGTCCAAGCAGTGGGCGGTGCCAGCAAAAGGCGGTGGTTGTTTCCTCCCCCCACCGCCCACCTCTGTCTCACAGGCCTATCTCTCAGTCGGCCTACGCGCGTGGTATTGTGGTACTTGTAGTTCTCTCCGGATGGATGGATGGATGGATGGGCATTGCCTTCTGGGAATTGCAGTTTTCAGGTGGGACCTTCCTGTATAGAGCCCTGGCGCATAGCAGCTCTTGGCTTTCCTGGCTGGGACCACATTTTTTTAAAAACGGGTAGGGAGGATGGCAGGGGTTGTTTATTAGAGTAACTTGTTTCTCTGCATTCAGACCCCAGTTCACCCACTTAGATTTTGGATTCGTGATCCAGACATATGCTTCTGGTCTTTCTGCTGCATGAGTTAGCTCCATTCCTCATATAATTTATGACCCAAAACCAAAATTCTGGGGTTTTACAGATTAGCCGTAATATTGGGGTCTTTTCACTGAGATGGGGAGGGGGCTCATTTCCTCAGGTCTGGACCTGATGTCAGGAAGACGAGGTCAAATCCTGCCTCAGACACCGTGTGACCCTGGGCAAGTCACTTGTCTTCCTCAGTTTCCTCATATGTAAAATGGGATAATAATGGCACCTTCCTCCCAGGGTTGTTGTAAGGGTCAAATGAAATAACATTTGTAGAACACTTAGCGTAGTGTCTGGCACACGGTGGGCACAGTAAATTCACTTCCCTTTCCCTTCCCACCAGTTTCTTTGGGAATGTAATTTGGCATGTCTAGATCCATTTGGAAAAGGGTAAGAGCCCTCAGGAGTTCTCCCGTAAGACAAGCTAATAAAACATCAACTACAACACAAATGTTGTTTAACCCAATAAAAAGATGGTGAAGGAATGGCGCCAAACTCATAAATGGTCGAAACAACTTTCCTTCCCTCTTTTATAGGTGTCCTTTCCCCCCAGGGGCCAATATAGTCCTCTAGATTTAGAAGACCAGATTAGGATTGAATTCCTTCTGTCCCAGTCCTCCAAAGGACAAGTACTTGGAATTTCTGCAGACCTGCATTGTCCACATAACTCAGAGCAGAGAAGGTCAGAATCCAGCCTTGTTACTCTTTGTCCCTTCATGCCCCTTCTAGGTCCAAATACTGCCTTATGCTGCTCTCTAAGGCTATGCCATTCCCTAGAGAGCCCTCGAATATTCAATCTTCCTGTCCAGAGAAGAGTCCAGAGTGTAGCCCCTCCTCTTTGCCCCTTTTTCTGCTTTCTGTTACTGCCTCAATTCTAATTTCTCTGTCTGGCTCTTGTACTCTCATCCTGTTGCTCTCCAGCTTCCCTTTAAATGAACAAGGGTGGAGCCCAGGTGTATAACAAATCATCCTTGTGCTATTAAAAGAGGGAAAGGCAAATACTCAGGGCAAGAGTACACACTTCATTCAACATTTAACCTTGTTAAAGAGACATTCAGAAGGATTCAGGGAGTGATACTAGGTAAGTTCTTCCTGGGCATACCATATATACTCAAAGTTCATATGCCCACATTTGACGAGAGCCTAGATTCTCTGACTGCTAACTGACTGGAAGAATTGGTTGTAATTGCTGCAATACAATACTAAATTTGATTTTTTTTCCACTTCCAAAAAACAAATAAATTTCTCTTTGTTTCTGACCTCCTTGGACGAAGGATGTCTATTACCTAGATTATCACATGCGGTTGGATGGATCGTCCATACAACTGATATCTCAGTGTACAATGTCTAGGATAGTTGTCTCAGAAAAAGAGAAAGGGCTAGACTGCATTTGAGAAATTGTGCAGTGCTTTTGAAGACCCCAAGTTTCTCCTTGAAGTGCAATGTCATCCCTTTAATGTGGGTATCTTTGCAGAGATGCTTTGCAACACACAGTTTCTGATGAATCAAATTTTAATAAATTGGATAAAATATAAAGAGGTCTTATAGAGGGACATACACACGTATGAAATTTATGTACACGTACACACATATTTTCACCTGTGTGTGTGTGTACCATACCTTTCCTCATAGACTGCAAGCTCTGCTGTGCTACCACTGCTGCTGCTCTAACCTTCATACCAGACTACCAGTGACCACACTTGCGAGGAGCTAAGCCACTTGATTTTTCATTCCCTACAACTATGTAGCCTCATCTTTACCCAGCCATTTTCCTTCCAGCCACTGTCTGCTTCTTACCCCCCCACCATCCTCCCATTACCTCTGGAAAGGATAAGTCAGTTGACTCTACTACTGTTCCATATGCCATCTTTGTGACTTCTCAGACCGTGAGTCTCTTCCTAGCCACCATTCTTCTCTATGTGTTATTGAATGTGCTATTAGAATGTGAGCTCCTTGAGGGGAAGGATCGTCTTGCTTTTGTACTTGTGTCCCCAGCTGCTTAAGCACAATGCTTGACACACAGTAAGAGCTTAATAAATGCTTTTTGTTCATTCATTTATTCCTTGAGGGTGAGGACAGGACTGTTTCATTTTTGTTTCATAGCACAGTGTCTGGGACTTAGGTCTTAATAGATGCTTATTGACTGATTTATTGAAGCTTTAAGAGTGTCTGACCAACTTGACCCTCCTAACCCCTACCATTTCTTCTCTACACCCTCAGATCTAAAATGTCCCAGTCTCCCCAGATCTTGTTCACTTGTTTTTCCTCTGGTATTCAGACTGCTTTCCAAAGCTTCTAGCTTCCTGCATGGGAGAGCTAATACTTCCCTATGATAGATCGGTAAACATCTGTAGCTCACATGATTGCTCTTCTTTGTTACATAACCTCAACTGTGCTCTCACTGCTGCTAGGCAATCCTGCTGTACCTCCCTTAT